CCAGGCGCCGGCGCCTGGCCTTGCACTCCCGCAGGTCTTCCCTCTGCTTGGAAAGCCCATGCTCCTAGTCCTCACTGATGTGCTTCTGCTGAGCCTCCTTCTCGGTTAGATCCAATTTGAACTGAGATGTTTTGCCAACTCTTTCTCCTGGTGGCTGCTTAGCTCCAGCAACTGCTTCCTGTTGGGGCCCTAAGGAGCCCGGGCGGGCAGGCGAGGAGTTGCGAGTAGAGGCTGGCAAGGCGCCCCTTAACCTGAGTGGCATCAAGTTGGCCACACACACCCAGCCACACGATCATCTAGCTACGCCCACCCAGTCAGTCATTAGGCAGATCCTATTAATTTAATTTAATTTAATTAACCACATTTATATGCCGCCCAATCCCGAAGGACTCCGGGCGGCTTACAAAAATAAAGAGAAAAAAAATTATTAGTGGTCTGCAGGATTTAAAATTATGAATTTTGGTCCCTGAGGTCCGAAAGGTTGGTGAGCCCCATCATAGGGAATGGGGTACCCCCTCCTGATCATCCGCAGCATCCAGAAAAACTATTCTTTCATTCTTCTGAAGAAATACATTAGTTCGCGTAAATTCATTTGAGCTCAGAAAGACAGAGAAATAAAGCTCGGCGGGTGGAGAGACTTGAAATGATTTGCAAGTTCCAGATGCTGATTTTCCAAGCTAAATTTTGAAAGGCCATCAAGCTTTTTTGCCCACAGATATTTCAGAAAGCCCGTTGCCCTCATTTCGTTTCCTGCTGGGTAGCATCCCGAGTCTGAGTTAACACCGTGCCGAATTCTATTTGTGAATTCACTCCCTTTTTTTTTTTGTGGTCCAAGTTCCAGCTGCTTAGAGAAGTTGTTTTAAATTTTTTCTCGTGGCTCTTTTGGAAGCCACCTCGCGACTGGAAGGGCTCCAGAGAGCAGCACCTAATGTAGTTTTCAGTCCCATGTGTTTCTAAATTTCCCGCTGCCTCTCCTGGCTTTGGCAAAAAACCCTCAGATGCAACTTCGGTTTAGACGAGACACATAATTGCGGTCAAGAACGAAACTGTGAACATAGCAGATGGTTTGTGGGTGGCCTGCAAAGAAGTCAGACCCTTCCTCCATAGCTATGTCCCAGAATTTGAAAGCCTTAAAGTTTTCCTCCTCCTCCTCTTCTTGTTAAAATGTTTTTATTTTTCATTTTCATACAGTCACATATATACTGTGCATAACCGGGGCCATACAACATTAAACAATAA